TTCTTGCCCTCCGAAGGGCTTTGGGTCACTTCTCTGGCTCCACCCTCTGCAGCACACACAGCTTGTCTTCTAGACTCCCGGCTGGCTGCACTCCCCACTGCTGATGTCCTTAGTGGTTATCCTATGGCACTGGCATCCCAAAATGCTGGAGTCTCTGGCTGCAACGGGGTTGCCCTTCACCAATAGCTTCTCCTGGGCTCTCTTCGGGGACTCCAGCCCTACCACACAGGGCCAAGCCTCTGCTGCTCTCCGTGACCCCTTCACACCTTCAAAACCAGAACCACCTGGGTGACTCTTACACTCGTTCAGGTGCCAGCCAGCACGAGGTACAACTTTAGCGACCTCTGGACCACAGCTTCTGTGTGCTGACTCTCAGGAAACACTTCCCAGAAGCTTTCACCTCAGTGACACCGCTCCTTAATCCCAGCTGATTCTTCAGCCCCAGCTAATCAGCATCCATTGTCCCAGCAAAGTAAAGGTTTCACTTTAGTGGTTCTGGTCTCTTGTTAATCACAGCTGATTCTTCAACTCCAGCTGACCAGAGCCACAGAGTCCTCACACGAAAGGCCTGGTACAGCTTTTGCTCCCTCTGAAACTTCACAAGCTCGGCCCCCATCATCTGCACTGCTCTCAACATTCCCTTTTTTTTTTTTTTTTTTTTTTTTCACTTAGCACAGCTGTGTTTAGTAGTCATAATCACTCAAACACTGTTCTCGCCGTTATCATCAACATTGCTTTGTTATTAATCCCTGGGCTTTCCCCCCTGCTTTTAATTTAGCTAAAAAAATCTATTTCCCCACAAGTAATTTTTTATAGCAGTCCCAGAAGGAACTAACAGACACTAGTACATACAAAAAATCGTCCATACACTTTTGTTTTAGGCTATGTTTTGTTGATACTCATGGGAGACCTGCCCTTTCTTAGGCAGAAAGGAAGAGTGGATTGGGGGTGGAAACAGAGGGGGCTAATGGGAGGACTGGGAGGAGGGGAGGGAGGAGAAACTCCGGCCAGGATGTAAAATAAATAAATAAGTTTATTTTAAATGAATGAATAAATAATAAACAAAGACCACCTGAAAGGTCATAATTTTAAAATATGAATACACCTTTGTCATCTGAGGTCTTGAGTAGCTTCTCTTTTCTTTTTTTTTTTGTTTTGTTTTGTTTTTTCAAGACAGGGTTTCTCTGTGTAGCTTTGGTGCCTTTCCTGGAACTCACTCTATAGCCCAGGCTGGCCTCGAACTCACAGATCCACCTGCCTCTGCCTCCCAAGTGCTGGGATTAAAGGCATGTATCACCACCACCCAGGTAGTTTCTCTTCTTTATTCACTATTCTTCTTCCTCTGTTTAAGATATTCATGATCACTAAGCCTTTCATTTTCCTCTTGGTTAGTGTTTCACATAAGTTGACAATGTTGCATACATCTTCCGCTAGGAATAGCTGGATCTAAAAAATTCGATGCCCAATATCATGAGCACATCTCATGATAACCACTTTTGGAGTCTGTGGTGCCTAGAAGTCTCTTGATTAGTTTTTCATGGAATTAAAATTAAGTGATTACTCAAGTTCTGTGCAAAGGTTTGGCTTGTAAATGTTTCCCAGGAGACACTATATCCCTTAGCACATTGAGGTGATAATGGCCATTACTCTCAACATTCATATCTTCCAAGTTCCTGCAGAATGGCTCGCTGAGCTCTCAACACTCAATGGTTTTTCTAGCCCACAGTTCCAAAGTCCATTCACACTCCTCTCCGAGGACATAGTAATACCCCACTCCTGATAACAATTTGTCATAGTTAGGGTTTCTGTTGCTGCAATGAAACACCAGGACCAAAAGCAAGCTGGGGAGGAAAGGGTTTATTTGGCTTACACTTCCACATCACTGTCCATCACAGAAGGAAGTCAGGACAGGAACTCAAACAGGGCAGGAGCCTGGAGGCAGGAGCTGATGCAGTGGCCATGGAGGGGAGCTGCTTACTGGCTGGCTCCCCATGGCTTCTCAGCCTGCCTAGGAGCAGCAGTCCAGGGATGACCCCACCCACAGTGGGCTGGGCTTTCTCCATAAGCACTAACTAAGAAAACGCCCAGCAGGCTTGCCGATAGCCCAATCTTAAGGAAGCGTTTTCTCAAGTGAGGTTCCCTCCTCTTAGGTGACTTTAATTTGTGTCAAGTTGACATAAAACTTTGCAGCACCGTCAGAATCTGGGAAACCATGGAAACTCTTTCTACAGTTCCTGAGGCTCTTCTGTGGGAGAACTTCGCAGAGAAGGTGGCCAGGGCATGCCTTTTGCTTGGTAGCAGTAACAGATCACAGTGGCCCGTATTATTGGGCACTTTCAAAGCACTAGGCCACCTTCTCAACACCCTCTGCCAGCCACCCCATTACAGGCCGTGGCGATTTCCTGTTGGCAGCAAAGAAACCTGACAAACAGGCTGAGGAAGTGACTTGCCCTGGGTGCCACAGCCTGAGCCCTGTGGCATGAGCAAGTTCCCAAAGCCACACATGCTACATCTGAAGTTGCTCTGCTCTTTTTTTTTTTTTTTTTTTTTTTGGTTTTTCGAGACAGGGTTTCTCTGTGTAGCTTTGCGCCTTTCCTGGAACTCACTTGGTAGCCCAGGCTGGCCTCGAACTCACAGAGATCCGCCTGGCTCTGCCTCCCGAGTGCTGGGATTAAAGGCATGCACCGCCAGGTTCTTTCTGAAACACTGAGGGAGTGGGGTTGGGGCGCAGGACTAAATTTAGTTAGGTCCGGCCGAGCCTAAAGCCATTGATTTAAACCCGTAATTCAGCATCTGTTCTAGTATCGTCTCTGTTGCTGTGACTAATATTCCACCTAGGGGAGCAATTCAGAGAAGGAGGAGTTTATTTGACTTACAGTGCCGGGCTACAGCCCATCATTAAGAGGTTGAGGCAGCAGCTGGTCACATCATCTCCACAGTCGAGGGCAGAGACGAACTCGCTCATGCTATCGGCTTGCCTGTCTGGTCTTAGCTAGCTGCTTTCTTCACTCTTCTATAGTGCAGGGTCCAGGCCATGAATGATGCCATTTGGGGTAGGCCTCCTACCTCAGTAACCAGTCAGGACAGTCCTCCACACACACACCTACAGGCTAGCCTGATCTAGAGAGCGCCATTGAGAATCCCTTCCCAGCTGATTCTATGTTGTGGCAAGCTGACATTTCAAACTGTCAGTGTCCCTTTGGGGTTTCCTAAATCCGGAAGTTTAATCCGGGTGGCAATTCAGTCTTCCAAGGCCCTTCTCTCCCCCAGCTGCTTCACCCATGTATGACAGAAGATGGGAGAGACCGGTGTTGACTGGAGTTTGCCAAGGTATGGGTGGCTTGTGCTTGTCCACTAAGGACAGTCTGGTGTGGTCTCCCTCCGACTCCTCATGGCTGTCCCAAGCTAAGTCACCTCTTGGCCACCCCTGTGGTTCAGCTGGCCTCCTGGAGTTCTTATTATTCCTGCTCTGGGCTTTACCACCTTGACTCTGCCACGGTGTGCCCTTACATCCTGCTGCTCAGTTCCTTGTGTGGGCCGCACAGGAACAGAGAGGAAGCCAGGGCTCCGACCCCCACACAGTTCACTTTGTGACAGAAATGATTGAGCATCGGAATGTTGTTGTTCCTGGGCTCCAAGGGCATGTCTGTCCTCCTCTCCATCTGCCTTGGCACATCTGCAATACTACAGGGACCAGGAACTAAAGGGTTAACACCCGGCCCGGCAGGTGTCCCCCGGGACTTCCCCTCTGTCACATCAGCATCCTTCACTCCCACAAACCTCTCATTCTGACCGCTGTGATCCATTCACGGATTCACCCCCTCCACCTCTCAGAACGGCCCCCTTCTCCGAAATCTCAGGGACCTCTGCCCTTGACATTCCTTTAAGTCACCGTAGACCCCGTCCCTCTGTGGACTCAATCCCAGGGAGAAGATGGCAGACAGAGGAACTTCCTAACCCCATTTCTACCGAGCTCATGTCTCCTCGGGAGCTAAAAAGCGGAGTTCTTCTTTTCCAGGCTTGCTTAAGCCAGAAGTGGCTGTGAGTCAGCACGGTGACCCAGCAGATGCAAGCAGAAGTCAGCCAAGAAGATTTGCTTTCTGGGTCTTAACTTTTACACTGCCGCTGTTATTGTTACTGATAGATCCTGGCGTTATGTTATTGTTAAGAGCTGTGACTATTATTAGTTCTTATTACCAACTCACTCTCCGAAAACCAGTCCCCTGTGTCTCCTTTAAACAGGACGTGGGGCCTGAAGTCTTGGTGATTGTGTAGTTAGTGGCCCAAGAAAAGGGGATCATAGAAACGGTGGTGGTGGTGGTGGTGGTGGTGGTGGTGGTGGTGGTGGTGGTGGTGGTGGTGGTGTGTGTGTGTGTTACTGGGGATTGCACATAGTTCTACACATACACTAGACAAGCACTACACCACAAAACCACATCCCCATGCCTCCAGATTTCCTTCACAGTGAGGAGGGATCCCTGCAAGGTGAACTTCCTGTTTTTCCATCCTGACACAACCATGACAGGCAGAGGGGAAATGACCCCTGTGCCTCTCTCTCTGCACACCTGTCAGATTCAGCTGGGGTGGTTTTCCCCACCTTCCTGCATCACTGGTCCTCATCCTGAAGGGATGGGCTTTCCTCTGTGGTCTCTTTCTATTCATTTGGAAACTGCTTGATCTAGTTCTTAGGGCCCTGCCTACCTGGGCTGACTCACGAAGTCTGAGTAATGAACCGATGGCAGAGAGGAAGACATTTCCCCTCCTAGCCAGGCTGCCTGCCTTTAAAGCCAAACTCACCAGCTCATTGACAAGATATCACTAATCCTCATTCATTGCTCCTGAGCTCTACCTTGCTTTTGGCATTCCCTCTGCCAAGTCCTAACCACCCAGCATCCTTCTCCCCGCTGTGTGGATGACGATCCCAAGGAGGCCAAGGGTATGAATCATATTTCCGGAGTTAGTCCAAAACCAGAACATTTAGATTGATCATTAATGCCCACTCTCCCCAGCACCTCCTCTTCCTGCAACCATCCTTCCCACATCTTTGACTCCCTCCCCTTCCCTGTGGGGAAAGGGACACAGTCATGCGAGCAGAATTCAGAGAGAGCCTGTGGCACCAATTTTATTGGGAGTAAGGGTCCGGGCACCAGAGCAAGCTACTCCTGGCTGATCTTGGAGGCGGGCGGAGGCTTCTGTGAGTAGGTGAGGCAGCACAGGGAAGCATCTGGACACAGGTGCATGAAGGTTTCCTGCCGCATGCAGTAATTTCGGCAAGCCCCTTGGCCATTCCAGCACTTTTTGAATTCACTGCTTCCTGTGCGGAGGAAGACCACAGATCAGAGAGCAGTCTGTGGGTCACAGGTTAGACCACTGGTCACAAGTTGAACTACAGATTAGGCCACACTAGTGACAGGTTAACTCTCTGGTCATTT